AGGCGCTGGCACGCATCTTGATATGTTCTACATGGGAATCCATGGACTGTCCGAAGATCTGCATAACTAACTGACCCACGAACTTTGGTAAGAAGTTGTCTGAGATAAAATGTATCACCACAGCCTGGATGGATATAGACAATTCTTCCAATTGAGAACCCTCTTTTCCGCGGAGCCCATTTTTTTGTTTTCACATTCCATATATAACGATTCGGAGTCTCGGCATAAAGTAGGTCCCTTGCAGTTGGATCTCGTTGGTTAAGGTTAAACCACTGTGTCAATGTTGTTTCTGAAACAGAATCGCGGGCAAGTATTCGAGACAGCCGTTGTTTCTTCCTATAAGGAACATAATGTCTCCCTTCAAGATGAACGCACAAGCGCTGAACCGGCGGCGTTCGTTCATGAACAGGAAATTCAAAGATCCGCCACGCTGCCTCATATGAAGACAGACTTCTACAATCAAGAAACTGTTTAATTTCGTCCAATGGAGGGATATGGTTTGGGGTAGCAGAATCAGATACAGACAACCCAGGAGTTTCAGCAAGAACCATGGATCTATCAGGCCCTTTTGTAATGTACTTAAACAAATATTTAATCAACCGGCCTTGATGACAGACCTCGACATTGATATGAGCTTGAAACAGCACAAGTAAATTCCGATTATATGGAACGATAAACCGATTGTCTAGTATAGATGTACCTTTCACTGCTGTTATACCTGTATCGCGACGGCGATAGACTGTATAGCCAAACTGGTCCGTTGTAGTTTCTGAATTAAACGGTTTTGGAAAATACTTTGAACACGATCCTTCTTTCATGCAAACATTGGTCGGATTATCTTGACCACACGGACCATGCAGCATGAACTTTGTCACAGCATCATACCCAATTGGATCTAGTAATGGATCTGGCAGTTCAGCACTAACAGTTGCATCAATATCAGAAGCTTGTCGTAGCTTATTCTTTGCATCCAACCATAACAGTATATGAACATGGGGCAAACCCCTTTTCTGGAATTCGACGGTTTTGATACCTGGAATTATAAGGCAATGAAATGTGTCATTTATGTTAGAGCACAAAACGTGAGGTAACTGAGGAAGTTTAGAGTGACAGGAATAGGAGAATTGATAACAGGCAATTGTAAAAGGAAGTAAGACATAAGGCAACCGAACAGACCTGCCACTGTTTGACCAAAGAAATGGCCTCGTGTTAATTCATCTTCCAGTGCATTCAGTTTCATGCGAAAGACCCTAGCAACAATCTCTGGTTTGAGTTCGCTGCGTGCACCACAGACAGCGCGAAAAGACTCTGTTATTTCTGGCCACTGGGAGTTGCACGTAAAGGTTATGAATAGGTCGGGGCTGCCATGATGGTGGACAACAGCCATTGCATCTAAGTACAGTTGCTTCATGTACCTAGGACTTCCAGTATGCGATGATGGCAGAACAACATGGCCAACAGCATCTCCTGTAACATCACCTCTGTTGAAAGCATCTGTAAGGCCATAGTATAGTTCAGAACGGAGGTTTTCTTGATGCGATCGTAAATAATAGAGTCGGTTTTGTTCAATTGTGGAATATGCATCAACCACGTAATGTTGAAGTGCCTTCCCACCTCGCATCAATGTCTGACCTTCGTCGTCTCTGTGCTGAAGCCGGTAAGCATAGTACTCTCTCTGAGTCACATGTTTCCTTTTCAATGTTTTGGGAGTATGAACAGGGTCATACGGTATGGTTACATGGAATCCATCTTCTCCGTATGGGAAAAGAACCGGAAAATGCAAAGCATCAAACTTCGGGTGTACACTTGTGATCCTCTTCAAGCCCTCTGACCGATGATCGATAATGATGTCTCGTTCTTCCTTATCAGGCAAGAAATCACCAGGAATGAGTCCAGCCAATTCTGAACCAGTTGGAAGTTCATATTGTCGAGATGTTGTGTCCCTTGCACCAACAATACGCAGTCTTAAATTGATTGATGCTGGATCATTCAATTCAGATCGAATTCGTCTAAAAGACTTAACTAATTCATTTGTCACGTCAAACAGCTTCATTAAACCAGAAACAATATCAGGACGCAGGGACCGCTCAGCAGAAGAGAAATTGGAGAGTCGATCTGCTAATTCGGTCTGCGGGTCAAAGACGTATAGCTGAGAATATTTAGGTCTCTGACCTGCAGCAGGAAGCAGAGATCCCATTCGATGATAATTTTCTCCGCAGATCACAAATGAATAAGGTCCTCGTGATCGTGTAACTCTCGGATCAAGGCGTGCTCCAAAAGATGTGAAAGAGAACGCAGCATTATAGGAGCGTATATGTTCCCTGAAGTGCGCTGCCATAGGACCGCCATTAACACCCAAGAGGTCTTCAAGGTACTGAGGAGTTTCCTGTAGGAATGGGAGGCGTACTCGACCCTTTTGACAACAAAGCGTGAAAACAGGAGCAAGAGATGCATGCCTGTTCAGCCGCTCTTCATACCAGAACCGTGCACCACAGTACTGGCATTCACAGTCAGGGAAACCATGATCGATAATCCGACTGAATCTTGCTTGTTGTGAAGGTGGTAGAGGTACATCAGCCAATGAACAATGACCATCCAACGCAACAGGAGGATGAGTTTGCGAGCTGGCTGTTAAGTCTTCAGGAGTTCTTAAGTCAAGTTCGGATGCGTCAAGTTCACCTTCTGAGTCAAGCAGTGGGTGCAAGCGTCCCCGTCTATCAAAGTTGCACACACGACGCCTCAGAGAACTTCTCGAAGGAGGTGTGGTAGGTACAAATTCAGTGGAAAGACCAATATGACGACGCTTCCTATTCGCTGAACGACCGGGTAGTAGGAGTTCAGCCTGTCTAGGAGTGGCCTAAGATCACACACTGACGTTAGGAAAAAAACAGGACCTGGAAAGTATAGCACAAGCGTAGCATGATATAGGAACACAATGGTAAATGTAGTAAGATAAAAGTAATAATTTGGCCAAACTAACCATGCCACGCATTCTGAACGGGTACAGTGGAATACAAACACTGGCAGATTTGCAGAGGAAGGCAGATACCAGGTAATAGTATAGCAGATGTAGCAGAGAATTTAATTCAATGGCCAACAGCAAAGACAGAATGAGCAAAAAGAAGCAGTAATGGGAAAGCAGTTATGGAAGAAGGCAGTCTACAGGTAAACGGTGTTTCCAGGGGGAAAGATCCTTCTCAAGAAAAAGTATAATAATACAACATGCACCATAGCAGGCTAGTCTAGAGAAGTGAGAAGTAATAAAGCCATCATTAGTGAACAGGGTAGTCAGAACAATAAATGCATGATGGCAATTAATAGAAGAGGAATAAGTTTATAATTTGGGTCTATGGAAGCTAGTAAACAAAGGCATAGTATTAGTGGACAATCTAAATATCTAGTTTCTGTGTGGCTGGTAGACACCATCTAAATACCCTGCAAGCGGAAAGGGTGTGCACAATGTGGTCCTCAAAGTGGCCATTTACAACAGACAATGGCCACCTGCGAATAAAGAGCAAAACAACTGGCTAACGAAGTAGATACAGGTGCGATGCGAATGCGGGTTAAACGGCAAAATTCCGCCCAACAAATGATGATACAAAGTAAACCAGTTCCTTAGCACAAACTAAAGATCAGTTGCAGAGTGGCGCGATACTATGCCACTTAAAGAAGGGCATGGCAAAATGTTGCTTTACGGTAACGACATAGAGCTGGTTAGAAAGCAGGTACGCAAGGGGTAATCTGGACAAAGAGGTAACTAATACAAGTAAAATGTCACAGCAGACCAGATTGGTAAAAGTGGTGCCAGTAATGGAACACCACAAGTTTGGCAAGGGCTGCAAATGTAGATACAAAAGGCAAAAGTACATAGTGCACTACTCACTAAAGAGTGTTTCCCTTTAAAAGTGACACAAAAGAAAGGGAGGGACAGCACTGCACAAACATGTTACATTAGCACTCGCATGATGCGAAGCATGGTCAATCAGCAAACAGTTGCTTCTTAGCAGGTTCCTTAGCAGACGACTTTGGAGTTTTTGGCTTCCTCTTAGAGGCATCCACAGATGCTTCAATGGCCTTTGCAGACGGTGTCCTAATTCGCTTTGCCCTCCCAGGATTAGTTTTCCCCACTGGAAGTAGCGGAACTTCTTGGCCAGCAAGAAGAGGAGAAGGCAAAGCAGAGTCAACGGTAGGAACAGGACAAGTCGAAGAGTTTTCAATAGCCTGTTCTTGCAGTGGAAGTTCAACGTCCAAGTCTTGCAATTCCAAAGGGACAACAGGTTCGTCTTCATCAGAAGAAACAACCAAGCGACGGCGACGTACAGGTGCAGGATGTATAGACACAGATTGCCTAGAAAAGGAGACAAAGGAAGTAGGTCTGTAAAAACACATCTATATGGAAGAACATGCACATTCCTATGCAATGCGGGAGCAACTTGCAAAGCACGAATAAGATAATGACTAACAACAAAGAACCCACTGCACAAGGAATCTCCCTACAGTAAAGACGATTATTACTTCAACTGTGGGAAAACAATTGATTTGAAGCTGACCAAGTAAGCAGAAGCCACAACTATTTGTTTATTTTGGTCTGTATAAACAAAAAAGGGAGAACATTCGTAGATAATTAGTATGGCCACTGAAAGGTAACATTGTATGTCTGCACATTGAGAACACGTGTAAGTTAGCGAAAGGCGAAGAAAGGGATACAAAAGGCCATCCATCGGCGATTGTATTTTATGGTGACAACTTAAAACCATGTATAAAAGCAGAAGACCAAATGTAATTGAAAAGCATTGGTTGCAGTTCTTTTTGCGTCAAAATAAGTATTCTGTGCAGACTGGAGCCCTTTTGTTATCAGGTTTAAAAGAGCACCAAAAGCATGCAAACTGGAATTCTAGGGAGCAGACAACACTGGCAAGCGAATAATTAGAACGACACATACTGTGACAAAGGCTGAAATGTTGTTGTCTGCAAATTGACACCGAGGCCATTAAGATTTCCAGAGTCAGGATTCGCCGATTCGGTTGGCAAAGGATGTCCAGTAGGGATCTCAAGGGACGATATTGGAACATCGGTTTTTGCAAGAGTAACTGCAGGACGACGCGCAACACTTGGACTTCCAGTTTTCCTGCAAAAGTCCAACAAAGCTGTATAAGGTAAGGACAGTAAACCGAAGTACAATGCAGGATACTATGATAAGTAAAAGAATTCCAAGAGACAATAGTAGCGTATGCACAGTTAACAACCAACCAAACGAAATAACAATGGCGGGCACATTTGAAACGAAGGGTGCAAAAAAAACCAAAGTCAATTGGCAATATGCAAACAGAAGCAAGGTAAACAGGAAACTAAGACCTAATGTAGGATATGGTAAATTTGGTACAAGAAACATAGTAAGTAATAAAGGGCAGAGAGACTTCTTCTTAGCAGATGGTTTCTTCGGCTTCGCTTTCTGCGAACTAATGGTCTTGTTCTGCACAGTAGCATCTGTAGTGTCCGAAGCAAGTTCCCTGATACAGAGATGCTCAGGAAGGAAAGAAAGAGACACGTAAAGCTAGTAAGTAAGTTAACAGGAGGGAAGGTACTGTGGGGATCGCTGTGTTGCAGTTTCTGGGGGCACTTCCTCACTTCTAGGGCTAAGAAGCAGGTAAAACGGGTGTGCAAGAGTCATTGACAAATATAAGCAGGCGTTAAGTCGAACGCTTGAGGTAATACAGGAAAAGGCAAGAAACTGACCGCGCATAGGAAACAATCTCAGTACGACCAAGTTCAGGAGAAGGAGCTACGACACTGTTGTTGTAAAGAAACATGTCAGAAAACGACATCAGAACGTGTATAAGCAGCACTGAGCTAGCAAAGCAGACAACAAACAGACAACCTTCCCAATGCAGCAGATGAGGGTGAGGATACAGCAGCGATGCGCCTACTGGAACTTGACGGTAAACAACGCATGGAGAAGAAATGTCAACACATAGGGAAAGAGTTCGACAGCGTCCAAAGAAGAGCTTGTTAATTTTGTAAAGCAAAGTGGGCTGTACAAAAGACCTGTTGTAGGGGCGACGTGGAGGAGTAGAAAATGCAAGCTGAGAACTCCCACTGCAAATTTAAGAAGGAACCCGAGTTCAAGACAATCAACAACCAGCGAAAAGAGGACATGTAAAATTGAAGCATTACCTTGGTGAAGCAATAGAAGAACCATGGTCTACCGAAGCGGTCTGAATTGTTGGAACAACATATGGAGACGTAAGAGGCATCAAGTGAGGACTGCAACGGAAAGTAGCGATTAGTAATGAACAAAAGGGGACTGTTCCACAAACTGGAGAACACGGAAAAAACCTGTTAGGAGGTGGTGTATGGGGCATAGCATTTCTTGACCGGCGACTAAGAGTTGGTGAGCAGGAATTTGGCTGTTCTTGCTCATTGACAGCAAGGACCGTGAACTCTGGCGGGCCGCGAGCCCCATATTCCGGTTTTGGAAGCTGGACGTCAAAAGTAAAGTCTCGTCCTTCAAGAGCCAGAAGTTCTTGTGGAAGAACATTGCGCTGGTAAGGAAACCTAGTAGAGAGATCGTTAGCAGTCAAGCCCACAAGAAGGTCAGCGGCCCTACCCAGCAGAACAAAAGCTGCTGATCCAGTGTTGTCATCAACTGTTACCCGAAGTTTGTAACTGCAAAAAACGTGTACAGGAGCGTATGAGGACACGAGAAATAGGCAAAAGGTATGGGGGCAAGAATGAAGAAAGGAATTACAAGTTCTGTGTTTGTTGAGGCACCAAACGACGGTGGTCATCACACCATTTGTCAACACCATCATAATCTATGGCTGCTTTGGAACAAAGCGCACAACCCAAGTAGTACCACTGCATAGAAGAATCAACCGAAACGATCCGACCAGAGCAATGGTAACGCGTAGACTAAAAAAAAAGTAAACGGAAGAAATGATTAGACGGACAAACAAATGAAGTGAAAGGAACAAAAGCAGGTAAGTTGGAGAGCAAAAGGGGAAAAAACATACATCGGCAACAGGTGGAAAACACAAAGCAAGCAGTTGTGACACAGTTTTCGTACATTCAGCTTCGAAGGCCGCTGCCTCAGTAGGAGTTGCAAACCTCGGAGGGTAATATTGACATGTATTAGTGCTGGCAAAGAACCTAACGGAAGCGAAAGCAAGGAACGCAACAAATTAGCAGTAACAAAAAAGACAGCTGATGATGCGAAGGGAAAAACAAATATGAGGAGGATAAGAAAAGACATACACAGATTGGACCAGGTGAGCCATTTCAGAAACAGGGTTGAGAACACAACGTGTGCCTGGAGTACTGGTCAGAGAGTAACCTCCTACAAAAGGGGTGAAGGTAATAAGGAAAGGAGGAAGGGAAATGAAACGGAGAATAGTGCAGCGGTAAGGTACATGCAGACCTTTCGTAGCGCCAGTGACTCGCAGTGAGCAAACAGCAAGCATGACTGGCCCAGAACGACCAAGGACAGCCAGTTCCTGACCATTGAGATTCCGAGCTATATCACTCCACAGACTGATATCAAGAAACATGTGACTGGGCAAAAAAACAGCGAAAGTAAGTAACAAATGTAGCACAGTCGATAAAGCAGTGGTGTGCATGTGTAACATACTTTTCATTCTGAAGCACCAAATCACTCCGCACAGTGGTACCGAATGAAGTAACAGTGCTAGAAACGCCTGTGATGCTAACAACAGCGCCAACGACATCTGACAGAGGCACAAGCAAGAGAAGAGAGGAAAGGGTGGTAAGCAGTACAGTGCAGAACGGACAGCAAGAGACGTAAAGAATACAGGACAAGACCTGTCAGATAGACCGATGAACGTATGCGGGAATGAAGCGAGCTGAACGGGGTAAATTCGAACGCATCTGGCCAGAATGAAGGTGACGAACGGGTCACGTCTTCGAACTGTGTAGCAGCAGAGAGGACGATGGTCAACTTATGAGAGCAAGAACGATACGAAGGGGCCGGTGGCTTGACGCGGAAGTTGCTCACGAAATAAACGCTACCCAACTGCAGAAGCGGAGAGAAATGGCGCGTGAGTTCCGAAGGAGCCGTGCCCTGAATCAAAGTACCCTGGCCAGAAAAGAAACGAACATCAGAGGGCTGTAAAAAGAAGGGAGGCGCAAGATTGCATGGCAAAATAAAGAAGAAAGCAGCGCTGACCTCCTCATCATTCCACAGAGTGCAGTAGTTGAAGATTAATGTAGGATTCTTCAGCCCATAAGACCCCCACGCATGAAGGAGGCGCAGCTTCAGAAGAGTCTGAAGGCCATCGGAGTCGCTGAGGTCAAGAAGCAATTTATGGGTCACCATGGAAGAGCAATAGAAGAAAGCAAGCGAGCAAGCAAGATAGAAGAGGGAAAGTCTGTGAGGAGCATAAATGAAAGGTAGCAAAGCAAAAGAAGACTTTTGTGGGGAAAGGAACAGATGAGGAAGCGCCAGACCTGTCATTTCTCAGGGGAAAGGTGAGGAGTTCCGAAAACCGATAAGTTGCAGAGAGAAGAGAAGTCGCTGGCGAAGCAACCCAGGCTAAAAGCAGAGAGGAAAGAGAGAGAAAGCAATGATTACAGACGAGAACGCAGTAAAAATGTGTCAAAGAAAAACAGTGTTAAGACGTGACTCTATGAAACAGTAAACTTGTAACTTGTTCTTTTAAAGAGATAATATATCAGGCCGCTAGCTGTGTAAAGAATTTTGTCTACTTACGATAGGGTGAAAATTCAAAATTAACTATTATAGCAGGACCGAAGAAAGATGTGGAATAACTGCAAGAGAGGAGTCCATGGTGGTGATACTGTTCAATTCATCATGATTCCAATATTATCTCTCATGCAATCCTTTTCCCTAGTGTCACGAATGGATTTTTCCCGAGAATGTCATTCTTTCGATCGCTACAAATTTTCCACTGTACAATACTTCTACAAATATTTTTCAAACTACTAGAGTTTGGTGAAGTTCGTTGGTGTCAAAACGAACATGTATAATATATTGCCGAACTTCAAAAGCGATTTACATAAATCACTGGTAAAAAACAAGCGATCCGGTTGAGATCGCAGCGAACCACACTAAGACCGCTTCCCTCACCAGCGATCCATGGTGAATCAGTATTACACCCCTCTTGCTGCTCTTATGTGGCGTCCGACAAATGATTAATGGGTATTCTTAATTTGTGGACAGTCAAAATAGTCGATTGTACCCATTTAATTATCCGATGAGTCAATACATTGTCATTCCTTAGTCGCGGATAGTTTTGCATTATGTGTGTTAGAAATTGGGTCAAACATTTAGTCTACTTTAAGAAAATCAAAGTTTTGTGACTGACCCAAATCACATTTAGTGACCACTAAATTAAGTAACTATGGCCAAGATTCACTATGTACATACCCCCATGATCTATACGTACGTAGCATGCAGTGATGCATTAATTTAATTTCCTGATCTGATCGTTACTGTACTCTGTGTATTCTGGGCATCTGCAAGACTTGATGGAGAAACTGCAGGCGTCAATTAATCGGTTTTATTGTGGGTGAATATTTGATACTGTACTGGTCTGTGGGCGTACGTAGGGCCGCCATATACATGTAGGATGATCGACAGTACTGTGTATTCACATAATATTAAATACACAAACAGACAGAGGACTTGCACTCTCTATCAGGCTGCAGTCTGCAGACAGCTAGCTGGCTCCGTAAAAGATTTTGGCTGTGAAAATTCAAAATTTGACTATATAATCGATCATAAATGTCCAATCCTTAGAAACAAATACTATAACATTTAACAAAAGGATTGTAACAGGTGTTTGTTCTTGATTGTAGTTTGTAGATCCAGTTAAGTTCTACCTTATTGAGATGGATCTGAAGCCCGAGGGCGTAGGTTGGATCGTGACGAAAACATGCCTTCCAGTATATTATCATGTTACGTTGATAAACCGTTTAATCTCGTCTCTCTTCCGGGCCGCCGACAATTCTTCTCTCTCTCTTTTTCAATTGACTCCAGCCCATGCAGCAAAGCCCATTACTCATTTTTCCTTTCAAGTTTCAGCAAAGTTCATGCTTGACTGATTGATTCTATGAAGAGAAGAGACCCGGGACGAAGCCAAGCGGGTTGGGAACTCATCTTTCTTTTTGTGGGTCGGGAATGCAATAAACCGTCCCATTTGTTGGCCCAGTTTATAATTGGGAGTCTAAGGAGATATGGACTACTAGGCCCCATCTTCATAATTCCTTTGCTACATAACTATTGTAAGGATAAATTTCACGTTTGGTCACTGGGTTTACTAAAATCTGTCATGTTTGGTCACTCTTTGTTAGTCTCCGTCCAACTCCGTTAATAAAGTCCGTTAAGTGCTGATGTGTCAAACAGAATCGCCTAGTCAATCGGATTTAACCCCGAAGACACTAAACCCCACCCGTCACATCATCACAATCTGTCATATCATTAAAAATCTAATCCAACCCATGTCCCAACCCATGACTAGGGCTGTTAATGAGCCGAGCCGAGTCGAGCTGACCTTTGCCATAGTTCGGGCTCGGCTCGTTAAGAAGATAAAAATAAATATAAAAATTTCATGGATACATTGAACTCCATCAAAGTACCATCATTTTCTTTTATGGTAAAGATTGATTATGTATTTATCATTAGAAGCGACTCACATGTTGTTATTTATGGACTGTTTTTATAAGCAACACTTTGTTTGTAAACACATATGTACTATTAGTTGCATTTATTTGTTAATAATTTTGAGTTTCACATGTTTTCAACACCTTCTAAGCATACTCGATGCAATTTGAGTATTTACCGAATTAGTTCATGATCAAATACTAAACAAACACACATCATTAATGTAAATGCTATATACAAATTATATAACTATCAAACTCTACCGGCCAACAAGTCGGACCCTGTGCTAGTCTGAATGATATATGTGTATCAAACGCAAGTCGTTAGCCAAAAAGGATTAGAAATACCATAATTATAGTTTTAAATTATTGGATATCCTATCCTTTCTATTTTAGAGTGGTTGTACCTGCATACGTATTGTGAACGTGCACAGAAATTTCGTTTGTTAAGGTTGAATTGAATCTCCTCTTTTCATTGTTCCTCCCAAATTAACCAAGGAAAAATATACTACACTCTCAAGTCTCAAGTCATTTCTTACACACTAACTAGCTAGCTAGTATATCCTTTTAATCATCCCATGCTAACTAACCGGAACTAGAGCTGGTAATTGGTTTGTCGGTTAATGGTTTAACCGATAATCGTATCGGTAATTGGCGGTTACAGGTTAAATCGATAATCGACGGTATCGGTATATGACAGCACGAATCATTTGATACCGACTCCTATCTGGTTAGTAATCGTTGATATGTTGCCACCATCTCCCTCTAGTGCTGCTCTTGGTCCTTCGTCGGGGGTAGAGAGAGAGAGGTCGTCCTCATGTTCCCCCTTGTGATTGGGGTGCAAAGCGAGGAAGAGGGAGGAGAGACCAGATCGGGAGAAGTCGGGGTGAAGGTGGAGGCTTTAGGGTTTTTTTCTTATTTTCTCATCCATTTTATGATTTAATTAGTTTTTTAAATTGAAATTAAAAAATTATGGGGTAGTGATCGCCACGTTGACATCCAACTCAAACTCGTGATGTTGAGTCAACAATATTAACGAAATTGTTAACGGTGAGTTAACGTTTGATTAATAAATAGTATTCCAATATATAGATTTAGATAAAATAAATGAATTTGGAAAAGATTTGGATAATAAATATACATTACCCTTAATTTTTCAATATTTGCACAGATCATTCTTAGTTTTGTTACCATTGTGACCATCTCTTCCTATCACAACTCCCAACAGTAGCTCGCACGTCATACAGTTGACATTTTTCATACTCTTTCATCTTAATAATTCGACATCAAAATCTGGATTTATATTGACATGACAACCACTTTGTTGACAAAAAATTTCATATTAATAATAATTAATAATAATTATTATTATTATTATCATCTTCTTCATCATCATGTCGTAATGGGATGCTGTGCTGAAACTTCTGCGAAGCAAACCTTTGTACTAACTACTAACTAACGAACGCGTGGAGGCTATCCTCTCCTCCTCGCAACTATATATCCTTTCTTCGCTTCCCTCACCCCCAACTCATCTATCCATGCTCACTCTTCTTTACCTTCCCTCTTCTCATCCAAACAACTTCTTCAACATAATAATCTCTGTTACCACTCTTCTCTTCTGTAAGAGTTCCCATATTAATTATCTTTTCTTTTTATATCTAATCTAAGCTAAGATGACCAAGTTCAGTTCCTCGGCAACTTCACTCGCCGTCGCCATCGTCGCCGTCGCGGTGGTTCTCTGCTTCGTGTCGACATTAGCGGAGGGCTTCTCCTTGCCGGGAGCAGGAGCGGCGGCCGGAGACGCCGCCCGGAGCAGCCGGCCATCCATGACGGGAGTGGCGACGGACGTGGGCCAAAACGGCCTCTCGGCCGTCCCGTCGTCGGGCCATCGTCATCATATCCCTGGCCCAAGCCAGGAGCTGCTGGTAATTGGGACCCTGGTGGTGGTTTCCTTGCTTGCTGCAGCTTTGTGATAATCGATTAGGGTGGGTTTGGATACAAGGATTTGGATTTGGTATTTGTGATTTGGATTTTCAAATACCAAATCATGTGTTTGGATATTAATTACATTTGGTATTTGGATT